AAGTCTTATGAGTCAAGTTTGTATGATTAATACTTTCCGAATTATATACCTTGACATAACATTTGTACTGAAAACTGCTGTAGAATCATATAGGCAATTTTTCAGAAATAACTCATAAAATATTGATTTTTCGAAAATTATACAAGGGAGCTTTTTTATAGAGCATTAAATTGTCTACGAAAAAGTCTTATGAGTAAACTTTGCACGACCGATACTTCACGAATTACATAACTTGACATACATTTCGAGAATCGCGATTAAAAAATTGTCTCCTTATTTACTGGAGCTTTTTATCTGTCCAAGATTTTCGTACTATCTCTGCGTGCCTGTATTAGCTGCGAGGCAAGTTCTGCCGTCACCTCTTTCACCTCTACCGTATGCTATCTCCAATTGTCGTCGACTCGCTACCATTATTACGCGAACGTGTTATAAACAACGTCCACAGGCAATTGTGCTACTCGCAGTCCGTTCAACAATACCATAGACGCGATATCCCTGACAATTTATACTTAATGAAGCTGAGATTGATAACATAAACACTACCATGTGGACGTTAGATTGTTTTCTTATGTTGTCAATGAAGGACCCAGAGAACGTTCTGAATAATTTATTTATCTTTTCAGGAACCCCAGAGCGAGCCAGCTGAATAATCGAATCTCTGTTGCATAACAGAACTGTTAAATAAACAGTGTCGAATAACAGAAGGCCTTGTTTGAGACTGTTGCAACTCTGGATGCCTACGAAAATTATTAAATTGAATGGAAGGACCCTCCCCCCCCCCCCCCCCCCCACGGACACCTGTGAAATATTTATTTAATAAAAAGTAATGGTAGATATTTATACATTTGTGGCAGATGTAAGTATACAAGAACGTGAAGAAATTTGTGCAAAATTGCAATACTTCTTAAGCATACACAATTAATTTAAGTGTCTCTCCTTCATCCACAGCCTACTACTAACCACAACAATTCAAAAGCGCCTGTTACGAATAGAAAGCATTGGCCTCAGCGCATTGAATGGACCACTTCAGTCTCCAGACAATAATCCAACGAAAAATACTCGTCCAATGATCCTACTTCACAAACTACACACGAAGAAAATAAACAAAATAATTCAGCTACTTAAAGATCCACATATTTGAACCGATATCAAACGATAAAAACAATCATATAAGAAGACAGTCGTTAATTTCCAAACGTTGATGCGACGTAATTATAAAAGGAAAGAGAAACAGAAATAACGTTACCATTAAATGGTAGAATATTTTTAAATATTTTATAGAAATTTTTAAAGAAATTATAATAGAAAGTAAAATATATAATGTGTATACGATTGGAATAATGTATTTGGAAAGAAGACGCTCCGTTCTTAGATGTTAAATTTCTAACTGAATTTTTATTTGAAAATATCGCTCCTGTGGAATTTTTCTGGGGATAACGTATGGAGAGAGAATTCTTACGGTGCTGACGACGTATGCACGCCAAGGGAGAAAGTTTTTCAGATGCAGCATCGATGGGGGGATTGACTGACGTTCACTTTTCCGACACGGCGCGTTCACTCCGCGACCGACGTTTATTGGCCACTGCGTTGTACTCGCGAGCGTCGACTGACAACCAAACTAAACACGTTAGGTTTATATACGGGGAGCGTATCGTGAACAGGGGTCAAGAACTTCGCGGGAGTACGCGTCCATGCTCTGGTTCGCTTCCTATCTAGCCGTTGGGAATATTTTTCTGTTTTGTTTATATAGAGGCACGCGCGCCGAGTCGTTATTCCCCCTGACGATACGAGGAAATCTCGGCGAACAGTGCCGCTGTGACTGAGCACTATTGCGCGACTTTCTTGATAACACCGATTATCTGAATGTCAAACTAGGCGGTACGTTTTTAGGATGTAAAGTGGGCGACACGTAGCGTATGGAATATTTGTATGTAGTCCGGGATGTGTCGTTTTGTAGCGATGTTCGTTTTTGAGGAGGGTATAGTTTTTTTTAGAGAGAAATGAAATGCACAGGCTTGTGGGGCATTTAATTAGCTACGGAAAAGCCTTATGAGTCGAGTTTGTATGATCGATACTTCTCCAATTATCTGGCTTGATATCAAATTTTTAGTTATACTTTTTATTAGGACGTAACTCGTTAAATACAAGATTCTTGAAAATTGTGCAAGAGAGCATTTTTGTAGAGAATTGAATTGTCTAGGAAAAAGTCTTATGAGTCAAGATTGTATGATTAATACTTTTTGAATTATGTAGCTTGATATAGAATTTGTAGTTGAAATCGAAATAAAAATCATATAGGTAATTTTTATTAAAACATAACTCGTTAAATATTGATTTTTTGAAAATTATACAGGAGGACTTTTTTTGTAGAGAATTGAATTGTCTATGAAAAAGTCTCATGAGTCAAGTTTGTATGATTAATACTTCTCAAATTATGTAGCTTGATATAGAATTTGTAGTTGAAATTGAAGTAAAAATCATATAGGTAATTTTTATTAAAACATAACTCGTTAAATATTGATTTTTTGAAAATTATACAGGAGGACTTTTTTTGTAGAGAATTGAATTGTCTATGAAAAAGTCTCATGAGTCAAGTTTGTATGATTAATACTTCTCAAATTATGTAGCTTGATATAGAATTTGTAGTTGAAATTGAAGTAAAAATCATATAGGTAATTTTTATTAAAACATAACTCGTTAAATATTGATTTTTTGAAAATTATACAGGAGGACTTTTTTGTAGAGAATTTAATTATCTACAGAAAAGCTTTGTGAGACAAGTTTGTATGATTGATACTTTTTAAATTATATAGCTTGACATAACATTTGTACTGAAACTGCTGTAGAATCGTATAGGCAATTTTTCAGAAATAACTCGTTAAATATTGGTGTCTCGAAAATTATACAAGGGACCTTTCTTGTAGAAAATTAAATTATCTATAAGAAATGTTCTATACCAATTTTTCATAGAATCGATTCTTTAACGGATATTAATTTTTAAAGAAATTAGTTACTCTCAAGTAACTCGAGAAACTTCAATTTAAAAAATCGCTCTAATTCCCCTTCTAATAAGTACTCACACGTTTGCATCAATTAATAAGGAAGGGTGAAACAAATATTATCTGGAAGACCTTTTACTCAACACTGTGTCTAACACAAGTGCCTAACAAGAGTCAAGAAATAATACATGAGATATAACAATGTCAAATCTATAACTCAATAAATACAAGGAGCACACCTTGAAACCAAAATAATGCTACAACACACGAACCAAAATGTTAAAACCAAAATGTATAGAACAGGGCCAACAAGTACAATTTTCTCTAATAATGACGTCCTAGTTTCTAGTAACGATGCCCAAGAAAACGTCTTTAAAATGAAACGAAATGAATCTGGCTCAAGTTCTCTCCTTACACTCGTCATAAAATCATCAAGGTAATTCTCTGATCTACAAGTAAACGTTGTCGACAACTTTGATCCTCAACAGTGAAGAAAATTTTTCTTAACGATAAGGAAACATATGATTACGTTCACTTAACGCAGACTTGCCATGTTGTTTCAACCAATTATCGCGTAACATGCAAGACATAACCAGTCCAACCGGGTTTATATGTATAAAATATCCTATCGATCGGTCTTAGGTCAGTGATAAGGTGTTTACTCTACCAGTTTCATACTGGTTCGAGTCGGTTGCAGGTCGTGGGTACGAAGATCTTTGCCCGAGCAAACACAGTTTCATGGGAAGATTGATGTCATCTTAAAAATAATATACAATCTTTATTACATTACATACAGGGACAATACAATGTACAATGGGACGGTCCTTATTTCAATGATCTCTGTATTCTACGTTGCCCCCTGAATATCTTGAAAATATATAAGAAAATATTCCTGCAAAATTTCAGCTCTGAATTTTAAACATTAACGCGTGCTCCAAATTTTCAAAAGTCGGTCACTCTTTTTTATAACTCAGGTAAAAATTGAAACGATTTGAAATTTGCTAGAGTTATTACTTGTAGTAAGAGGAAGATTTCCTGAAAATTTCAAATTTTTATCTCAATTATTTCCTTATATATCAATCCAGTAAATATGAAGCTATTTTATCTACTTGAAATATTTTTATGATATTATTTTAAATGTCTTAAATGGGTACTTATTACGCTGACTGTATATTAATTTTTATAAATGTTCCACAAACAAAAATTCTTTTTCTGGTAATTGAAAAATTTAGTGTAGGAAATTCTTTCGACAAGAATTTATATTTAAAACATTTAATAGTATTGCTAAAATATTTTCAGTAGAGAAACTTTGTATTTACTGAAGTGATATATAAGGAAATAATTAAGATAGAAATTTGAAATTTTCAGGGCTTCTTCATGTTATTATAAATAACAACTCTAGCAAATGTCAAATTGTTTCGTCAACTCTGATTGAAGTTAAAGAAAAAGAAGTAACCGATTGAAAATATTCCTTGGATTTTCCATTTAAAACTTTCTAAGGTTTATGTGTTAAAGGTGTGAATTTTAAAATAAAATATCAGCTTATAGAAACTTCTTCATATTTACAGATTATTTATATGACGTTTAGTTTCAGAGATAAAAATTGAAAACTTAGAAGACCTTTTTCCTGAAATACAATTTATGCAACAAACTATCAATTTTTCAATTTTTAATTTCGAAACGAAGCATCTCACGAATAAATTGTAAATATAAAAAAGTTTCGTCTCATCATCCCCTATAAGACGATATTTTTTTTAAATTGATTTAACGAATATAAACAGACCTAACCTCTTTCCTGAAATTTAATTTTTCCGACATATTTCTAACTTTTCTATTTTTATTTCTGAAACTAAGCGTCCTACGAATAAACTGTAATGATAAAAAAGTTTCGTCTCGTCATCTCTTATAATCTGATATTTTTTAAAAATTGATTTAACCAACATAAACACTTTTCCGAACCCATTTCTCCTTCGCAGTTGAAGGGATAATGTCAAAATTGAGAGCTGAAATTTTTCAGGAATATTTTCTAACATATTTACAAGGTATTTAAGGGGCGCGTAACACTTCAAAAATCATTGAAATACGTAAAATTAATTGGAAACGAACGATCATTCAATATCTCGGTACTTTGAATTCCGACGCGCCGTCCAACACGTTGGAAGGTTTCCTCTTGTTCATTATATTCTGTATCTTCTGCCATTCCCTGTCCAGCTCCGCCTTCTCGTTCTTCTCTTTGTTATACTTTCTCGTTCTTCTTCCATCAGCCATCTTCACTCCGTACTGGAACGCAGCCTTCGGCAGGGCCTCTTTATTGTTCATGTACTCGCTGTACTCTTCAGGTGTGTCAAAGTCCCACCTGCCTATGGGACCTTTCTTATTACCAAGATCCATCTTGGTATAGTCTACCTCGTCGTCAGAATCGTCTATGGCGTCCTGCATCTCGTCCAACCCTGGATAACACTCTGCGTAGCCTTCTGGCTCCGCAGCCAGCTTGTTCAGCAACGCTCCTTTTTTAGGAGCGTTTGCGTCCAAAGTGGAAGGCACGACGCTCGGTAGCTGAGGAGCATTCACCTTGTCGTCGGTGTCCAGGCTGCTCTCTGATTTGTCGAAGTAGGAGCCCTTCTTCTTCTCTCTGGATTGAGCGAGGTCCTTTTTCCCAATCGTGGGGACGTAGTCGCCGATGTCACCGTAGATGCTCTCCTCCTGAGGCCTCGGCGCTATGTCCATGTCGTTCATGTCGTCGGGCCTGGACCGACCGTCCTTGTTCTTCTTCCCTTTCTTCCCGTGACGGTTACCTTGTCGTAGATATGACAGTATCTGGGCCAGCTTGTTTATCACTATGTCGTTCGTCGTCAGCGTTGGAGTGTTGTCCACAGTGGGCACGTCCGCTTTGCTCCTGATCAGAGTCGTCGGTATGTCCACGTCTGCATTCTCGTCGTCCAATTCTATCACGTAAGCCATCCGACCAGGCGTGAACAACTCGTTCCTCTCTATAGTCTTTGATTTCATGATCATCACCGTTTTGTACACGTTGCGTCCTATCTTGGTCTTGAACTGCATCTCGTCGTCCTTCTTCTCAGGCTCCTTCTTGTCCTTCACTTTGTCCTTGGGTTTTATCAACTTCTCCATCTCCTGCTCTTGCTCGTGCTCCTTTGCCTCGATCTCACTGCGTACCTGTAAATATCAACATTAGTAAATGTTATCTTTTTCTCTGGGTTAGGTCCTAATTTCTATACTAAAATATCCACCTTCTGAAGAAGAGCATAATCCAACCCTTTCACCAAATGAGTGTGCTCCATGTCACCACCCAAAAATTTTGACTGCTGAATCATCTGCCTCCTCCGTTCAGCTGCGTCCATCCCTGACTTCAAATCCGGAGCCACAGCCCTATACGCGCTGGCGCTGTTCATGGGATCCTCTGCCTGGTAATCCTGATTCGTCCCGTCCCTACGTTCTCTGGCCCTGTCTCTATACTTCTCCGCCAACTCCGCCATCTTATCTTCCTCCTGCTTCTTCAGCTTAGCGTAGAAGCTCTTCTTTTTCCTTCTTAACTCCGCTCGACTGCTGCCTGTGACGTTTGGCGTCTGAGCAGTCTTCGCGCTGGCATCTCTGGCAGTACCGGGTACGGATGCTGGCGTGGCAGATGGAACCGATGCCCGAGGGGTCATCAACAGCTTCCGGAAGTCATCGTTCGTCAATCGAACTGACATTCCCATGTCCTCCTCTGATGTCTCTGGCATGTTTCTGTAAATGGAACACTTTAGAGATTGAGGTTAGGTCTTTGGTCGGAATTATTGGATGTACTATAATACTATTATGCTAATATTATAGGACAGATAATATATATGAAAAGGAAAAACGACATGTGTCATTTGTTTGTTTATAACATCGATATTGTTGGATAAAAGTCACATCTGTCAAAACGCTATTTAAAAAATTTGAAAATTAAAATTAATTAAAATAAAAAATTTTTTAATTTCAAAATTGTAATTTTTATTTATTCATACTAACGCGATGTATTTGTTAACGAGAGAAACTTGGGTGTTTTACAAGTTTACAACTGTTTACAACGGTGAAATAAACAATAAATTGAAGTTAGAATTGGTTAGAATCTTGCGATGCCAGATTCTGCTATTTCTACTCCCAGTCGCACGATGCGCATGCGCGCTAGTTTTAGCGTCAGTGAAGTACCTAGTACGACCACAAAACTGGCGCCCTT